TAATCCTCAATTGGCAGGGCCAACCCATAAACAAATCACTGGCCAAACCCATTACTTTGAGCTAATTTGTTCCCAATGTCCATGGCTAGTTTGTGTATAGACTGAGAATACCTCAGTATTGTTCCCTATAATAATATCATGCTAATCAAATCAAGAAATACATAATTTGCATCCCAATCTAAATCACAACCCAAAAAAATAGAAAGTTGTAGTCGAAACAAGAGTTGGTATGATTTTTTATTATTCAAAGAGTTGGTATCGATTACTAAATAGTTTTATACAAGGATGTTAGATGGTGAATGTATAATCAAATGAAGATTTTGTTGCAAAATAAACCAATCAGTGATCCATATGTCAGTCGGATTCAAGCCTACTGTTATATCATTTTCACAAGGGTGGAGAACCACATCGCAACTTGAGAGAATTTGAAAAAAACTAAGGCTCACTACTGACATTTTTATTGGGAAAATTACATAAATAAATAAAAAAAACTACTCAAAGATTGATAATGTAACAAAACAAATCTAAAATTTTTTATTTTATCAATTTAAAGCCTAATTTTTTAATTTATTTTCAATCTAAACCACCAACCTATTTTGTTAGGTTAAACCGACAAAAAAAATACTTCAATAATTAAATGTAAATGTATACAAATTGTTCAAAATATCAAATTTTTATTGAGTTTAAGGACTAAAATATTTTTTTTTTTTCATTAGTTTTAAACTATCTCCAACCAAGACTCAAATCTTTCATCAAATTTAGATTGAATAAAAATTTGATAAAAACGGTATTCCAACCGTTTCACCAAAGGTATCAAATGAGGGAACCCACTTTTTCCATCAAATTAAGGGAGCATTAACTTTTCATTTCTCGTAGGTAAACTATTGGATGACTAGATTGGAAAAAATTTGAAGAATTTACACTAGGCCAGATGACTATCTGGTCATCCTCTCAGTCGATTAGTGGTTTGATGAAAATTAAAAATTTGGCGTTAGAACACTTGGTACCAAATGAAGCTTTTAACCCAAATCTATACTCAAATTTGACAGGAAAAAAAAAGTGTAAGCGCTGGAGATACTATTACTTAACGGAAATTGATAAATTGTTTAAATTGAAAACAATTAAAAAATTAAGGTCTAAATTAACAAAATTAAGTCAAGTTTTTCTTAAACCCATTTTTATTTACATGTTGTACATAATATATATATATAAGCCGTTGTAACTTGGAAGTACTTAACTTTGCTAAAGCTATAGCTTATAATTACTAACTGATTCCATATCTTAAATTTGATCAGATATTATTCTGATTAAGTATAAGCTATAAGAAAAAAAATAAATACTAAATTAACTGAAGTGAATAAGCTGTAAATAATTTTAACAGAATATATATATATTTTTTAAATTATACTTGTGACAAAATAAAAAGAAAAAGTTATCAAATTGCCCTAATTTTTTTCATATTGAGCGTCAATCGCCTCAAATTTTCAAAGGTTCTAAAGTTGGGATATGAACTTCACGGAAAATTTTAATATACAACTCCTTGAAAAAAAGTACCATATGCACCCTATAGACACCCCTACTCACGTAATTTTCTTATTTAATTATGATTAATTATTTTTCGTTATAAATTATTTTGTAATGATGATTTCGTCAGTAAAACTCATGTTACATGTAGTCATGATATATAATATTTTTATAAATTATAACTCAAAAATTAAAACGAAGTGATACTATTTGTACATGTTGAAAGGTATGCTTCATAGGCTGTGTTTGGTTTAGGGTGGAATCATAATTCCATATATGTTTGGATATAGTTTTAAAAAATTGATTTTACACTCATGTTGAAAATTCTTTTCAAACATGTTTGGTAAGGAGTTTTTGAAATTAAAATTGGATCTACCAAGTCATATGCTCGGACATCCTTTTGGACAGTTTTGTTTTTAATTTTTTGGTCTATCCGGTCATTCGCCCAAACATCCTCCCATACGTTTGGTCGGTAGATCGGAACATTTTTTTTTTTTTTTTTTTTTTTTTTACAATTGACTGTTATTTGGAAGAAAAAAAATCATATTTATTTTGATATTTTTAAAATATAGAAATTATTTTTTAGACCAAATGACAAATTATTTGGCAATTTATTTAAAATTAACAAAAAAATTAAATAAAAATTAATTGGTCACAGTAATTTTTAAAAAATAAAAAATATGTTAAACAAAATAATTAAAAAATTCCAATCAAAAATAATTTTAAAACACTGAATATTTTTTTAAAAAAAATAATATATATTTTCTAATATTTTAAATAAAAATATTTTTTGAATTTTTAAATTTTGTAAATAAAAACCTTATTTTTTTCAATAATTATTTTTTTAATTAAATTTTTAAAAAAATTAATTATAATTTAAATAAAATTTTGAATTATTATTTGATTATGAGTTATAAATTTTTAAATTAAATTATAAAAACTCATTTTAAATTAATATCCAAATCATTTCTTTATTTCAAAACCAAATAATTTTTTAATTCAAAATCTTTATTTAAACTATTTAAACTCCTAATAAAAACATTTCCTTCTCTTAAATCATGATTCAATAACTTACAAATTCAAAACACATCTCCATATTCTTAAATCATGATTCTCAAACTAAACCAATTTTCTCGAAATTCATAGAAGCCCAGAAATAGATTTACCGAGTCCACAGATTAGAGTGGATTATCCAAAATCACTCATCACTCGGTGATCAGTTTATAGCTAATTTCAAAGACAAATCGCTTAAAATCAAATCACCCCACAATTCAATTTCATTTCAAATTCTCTAAGAGAGAGAGAAGAGAGAGAAATGAAGCACCTTTGTTGAGGAGAAGCATCGAGCTGAGAGCAAAAATCAAGAACAGCATGAGTGGATCCAATGTCATAGAGACCCAACCCTTCATATAGAGGATTAACCTTGCTCGGCGCACGTACCCACTTCCGGCGATGACGTCGGTGTTCCGGCGTTTGATTTCCCGGAAGATCGAGAAGAGACCTCACCACCGATTCATATCTGACATCAGAGTTGTGGGGATCTGGTGATTGATGATCCTGAAGCAACCCCATTCTTGCTCGCATCGATTAGTTTCTGGGATTGAGATGGAAAGTCTTGCAGATCAATCACTGGTACGAGACTTCTAGTACCCATTTTCTTTGCGCTTTGCTTTTCTTTGGTTTCTACGCTCTTCTCTTGCGTGTGGTGTTTGGAGAGCACTGGGATTCCACGTTTGTTACAATCTCGGGGGCTATTAAGTCTATCTTATTTTCCAAATTAAGTTTAGTTTGACAGATTTTTAATTAGGCTAAAGTCTATTATAAATCGGTTTCACTATTTAGAGTCCAAAATTTAATGAATAGTGAAAGTGCTATTGCAAAGCGCTTTTAATTAAGAAATCGTATTTCAAATTCACTTTTAACTAAAAAAAAATTTCTAAAAGAAACGCTATTTTATATCGCGTTTTTACTGTGATATAATTTTTTTTTTTTTTTTTTATAAAAGTTATTTCAAATGACGTTTCTACTGTTAACCAAGACCAACCACACTCTGCATACAGAGACACCCCACACAACCACAACTAAAGCTTGAAATAATATAATTTTTAATATTAATAATAATTTATAATAATCAATTATATAATTTTTATAATTTTCGTAAATATAATCATTTTTTAGGTTATGTGATGAGTAAAAAATTTTATAATCAAAAATAATTTTTCAATTTTTATAATCAAAAACAATTTATAAATTACACAAAATCTATTATAGATTATTATAAATATATAATAATTATTTTATATATATAATATTATTATATTTACTTAATAATTATTAATAAATATATATATAATATTTATAAATAAATTATTTAAATAAATTATTAATAAAATAAAATTATTTTATAAATAAAATTTATTTAAATAATAATTTATTTAAAGTAAATATATAAATATATAAAAATATATATATAATACATACGTATCAAAAATAATTTATTTAAAGTAAATATATAAAAATTATATATATAATACATACGTATTATATATAATTTATTTAAAGTAAATACTACGTATTATAAATTATTATAAAATTTTTTATAATACATACGTATTATAATTTATTTTGATTATAAAAATTGAAAAATTATTTTTGATTATAAAAAATTTATTTAAATAATAATTTATTTAAAGTAAATATATAAATATATAAATTATTATATATTTAAATAATAATCTATAATAGATTTTGATAATTTATAAATTATTTTTGATTATAAAATTGAAAAATTATTTTTGATTATAAAATTTTTACCCTTACATACTATTATAAATCAAACCATTCATAACCTAAAAATGATTTATATTTACGAAAATTATAAAAATTATATAATTGATTATTATAAATTTATTATTAATATAAAATTATATATTTTAATGCTTTAGCGTTGTGGGTGTGTTGGGGTGTCTCTGTATGTCAGAGTGTGGGTTGGTCTTGGTTCAACAGTAGAAACGTCATTTGAAATAACATTTTCTATAAAAAAAATAAAATAAAAATAAAATTATATACACAGTAAAAACGCGATTTAAAATAGCGTTTTTTTTAGAAAAAAATTTTTATGTTAAAAGCGCGATTTGAAACAGTGATTTCTTAATTAAAAGCGCGTTTTGCAATAGCGCTTTCACTATTCATCAAATTTTGGGCTCCAAACAGTGAAAGCGCGATTTGTAATAGCGCTTTAACCTAGTTTGGGAAATCCGTCCAAACTAGGCCTAGTTTGAGAAATAAGATGCAAAAGAGGCTTAATATGGGAAAAGCCCCCAATCTCTGCGTCTATGTGGTGTTTATAATATTATTTTATTTATAATTTTAAAAATATATAAGAAGAATTAGTCTAAAATCTCTCTCATATATTTAATAATGAAAAAATCTACAATTTTATTTTATAATGTCTAAGTTGCTCAACTCCCACACCCATATATTACAGACAAATTCTCACCTCTTTCTCTCCCCCCGATCTCATCACTTCACCTCCACTAAGTTTGGTCTACTCTCTTCTCACTCTCTGCTTCCTCTCTCTCTCCTACATCGATGGCAGTTGGGACAAACGATCGTCTGAGGATTCGAATTACAGACGCAAATCAGTAGAGATGTTTTGGGTATAGTTTCTCAGCAGGAGATAGTCTCGCTCTACCAGAGGTTCTGTCAACTCGATTGCAACAGTGGTGGCTTCATCTCTGCCGATGAGTTCTTGTCAGTACCTGAATTCGCCGTCAATCCTCTCTCTCAGGTTCTCAATCACACTCCATTCTCTTTCTCTCTATTTATATATACATACACACAAGCACTGAAACCCACATAATGGATTAGGGATTTGGACCTCAAAGAGGCCTCAAATGAATTTATATGCTGGCATATGCACACATTGTATTGTTTATGCATATATTAATTATATCAAGATGTTGTATTGATGAATTAAGGGAGCATATCAATTAGGGCAAAAAAGTTAAATTCCGTTTCCAATCTCAGATGGGTTATCGTCGGAGTGTATATATATACACATTTGTATGTGTGTATATATATACACTTGTATGTGTGTGTGTATAAATTGATTTAGTGTTTGATTATATATTTTGATAGGATATATCTTTGGTTGTTCAAATTTCTCCTATGGACCAAACCAGGGAATTTCTCTAGACCAGTCTAGAAAAAATTCAATTCAAATCAGAGAATTTCTCTGAACCAACCCAGAGAAAATTCAGTTCAAACTAAAGAAAATTCAGTCTAAACCAAAGAATTTCTCTAAACCAAGTAAACAAACCCATGGTGGTAACGCTGCAAATTCAAACAGGTGAAGAAATTAATTTGGGAAGCAATGCCCATGGCAATCTTGTGGATTTTATGGAAAACAAGGAATGAGTTGGTTTTGTTAAAATAAGCATTTGGTGTTGTGTGAGACAGGGAGGGCAGAGAAATTTGTTTAATTTTCTCTGCCTTTAACTGAGTAAAATTGGTGAAGTCAATTTTCTCTGGGCTTGAGAAGTCCAGAATTTATCAATTTTCTCTGGTTTGAAAATTGGTCAAACTGAACCCTAGAGAAATTTGAATTTTCTCTGGGTTGAACCCAGAGAAATTCTTTGGAAGTCCAGAATTTCTCTAGACTAATTTTCTCTGGACCAATTTTCTTTGGATCAACTTGAGGGACCTTAGACATTATGAAAATATTGAGTGTCCTTTATGCTGTAAAATCTTAATACTAGGAACCTTAAAAATAATTCCCCAAATATATATATTATATTTTATGTGATGTTTAATTATAATTTTTTTTTTTAATAATAGAATTGTAGAATTAAATTATGATATTTACAACATTTGGGAATGGTCTTCTTTGGAACAAGCTATTGTAAAAAAATATGGAGAAAAAAGAATTTTTTTGTTATTTTTTTGTATAATTTATTACTTTTTTTATAATGATTTTTTAAATTTTAAGTTAAAATTTGATATGCCAAACGACTATTTGTCTTTTTTCTTCCTTGGTCATATTGTCTATTACTCATGTATTCTACATAATGACAAAAAAATAAAAATAAAAAAAAAAGTCACAAATCCTATATGACAAATGCCAACGTGCGCCTTAGGTGTTATTTGATATATCGTAATTGGTATAAAAAAAATATTTTCAAAATAGGTGAAAAAGTTAAAAGGTATATTCAAGTTTAAATAATGTTATGTTTGATTGAGGGATTTAAAAAAAGATTTGAAAAAGGAAATGAAAATGGTAAGTGAAATATGAATAAAATATACCTATATTTTATCTAATTTTACACACATTTTTCCTGTTTGTTTCTAAATCCCTCCCTAAATTTCTCAATCAAACACAAGTAAAAAGTGTTTTAATTTTAATAGTTGTCTCATTTTTTACACTTTTTTATTTTTGTCTTTCTTTTCTTGAAAACATTAGTTAAATCTACAATCTACAAGGTTACAATTCACTTTTTTAGAGTTTTTAATACAACCATTGATGGGGGGTCAAAATAACCTTGCGAGGCTGGATAGGCTCAGCACCTGCTTGACTGTATAATTTGGTGGACCCGAGCCAAGCTACCACAATAAGGAAGTTCATCTGCCTTTCTACATGAGGGGCAAAGAGACTAACAATCAAGCCCTGGACTAGCTTCAGGATGACATACAACTAGTACGGCCGAAGGGTTGGCCCTTATAGGTCGAACTGGACTCTAGACCAGACTGGACCATCACAAGCTTAGTCGACCAAGTTAGACTGAGCACCTTCAGGAGCAATAATACTTGCAAACAAACTTCGGATCAAGAAGCAATAACCATAGGCCCCGTTTGATTATCTGGATTGGATATAAGAATTTGAGAAGGATATGTAATATCTAAGGAACAAGATGGGATATAATATGTTGTAAGATATAAGATAGATTATATATATATTATGGAGTCACTTATAGTATGTTTGGTTAAGATAGGATATATGATAGAATAAGAGGAGAGTGATTATTTGACCTTTGGATGAAAGATTTCCTATATCCGATGGTGGGTGTTAGTATATTATTATACTTTGTATATTATTATACTTTAGCATTGTTTATTATTCTTTAGCATTGTATACGTTCGTTGTTATTATTATGTTTGTTAGCTTTATGCTTTCGGCTAGCTTTAGCCTTTCGGTGCCTCGCGTCTCGCATGCCTCGCATCCAATGACAGACTATAAGAAGAGAGCTAAGCTCCCTTTGTAATTGCACAACAAATTCAATATATACACCTCATTTATTCACTTGCTCTCTCTCTCTCTCTATCAATTTATTTTACATGGTATCAGAGCACAGGTGTTTTGCCTAGTCTCTACATTTTTTTTTTCTTCTTCTTCGCAGACTGCTGTGTCTCTCGTCTGCATCACATTTGGACAGATTGTTGCATCTCTCGACCTTCTCTGTCTTCCCTATTCAACCACGCCAGTCTCTTCGTCTCCTCACGACGAATCCACCGCCACCAAATTCATCACCAGACGACGTTCCACGCGCCTCCACGCGCCGCCAGAACTTAAGGCCACGCGCATCCTCGTTCTCCGACGCGCTCTACGCGCCTCTGCACTGTCCCGCGCTACTGTGCGCCGCGGCCTCCTCTGCTAACGTGAGCCGCGTGTTTCTGCGTCAGCCAACGTCAGCCCTACTGCTTTCGTGCGCCGCCTGCTGTCTGCTGCTATTGTGCGCCGCGCACCTCTCTGCTAACGTGCGCCGCGCCTATGACGTCAGCCCTGTCGCCCATGACATCATCTGTTTGACCGAATTTTGACCAGCCACTTTGACCAGCTCATTTCGTGCCTTTCTGGTCCTATTTTTTTGTCAGTTCACTCTTTTCCCACTGATTTCGACCTTCTGAATTCACTGGTACCCTCGGATTTTTTAAATTCTACCTCGAAAGTACGATTTTGCCCTCATGGATCGCCTCGACTCCTCCAACCACCCTATTTCCGTTGTTCTTGACGGGACTAACTATGTCTTATGGGCACAAGCTATGTCTGGGTTTCTCAAAGGAAAGAAACTTTGGCGCATCATCACTGGGGATGTGTGCAAACCCATCCACGCAACCACCGAATCCGCTGCCACCACGGACTCCGCTGCCAAATATATCGATCGTCTGGAGGATTGGGATAGTAAAAACTATCAGATCATTACCTGGTTTCGCAATACTTCTATTACATCTATCAGCCTTCAGTTTGGTCGGTTCCAACTTGACTCTGCTTCCTCTCCCGCCAAGGACATCTGGGATTTTTTACAAGAACGCTATCAGACTACTGGCCTTGCTCACCAATATCAGCTTCTGAGTCATCTTCACCGTATGCGCCAAGAAACAACTCAGACCATTAATGATTTCCTCTCCCAAATGTATTATGTTTGGGATCAGCTCGCTCTTTCTGAACCTCCATGGGATTGTACTAAGGATGCTGCCTTGTTTACTACTTACCGTGACCAACATCGCTTGGTTCAGTTTCTCATGGCTCTTACTTCCCGTTTTGAGCCCGTACGAGCATCTCTCCTCCATCGCACTCCTTTACCCACTCTTGAGCAAGCAATTTCTGAACTCCTGTCAGAGGAAACTCGGTTTGGTACTCTCCATCTGCACCCTATGGACTCTGTTCTTGCTACTCCCCAGACTAAGAGTTCTCCTTCTCCACCTTCACCACAGAAGTCAACCTTCTGCAACTACTGTCAAAATCGCAGTCTTCCGTCGACTCATCTTCTGGTTAATTATCCTGTTCGCCTCTGTCGGTTTTGCAACAAGACTGGTCCTGGTCATCTCCAGCAAGATTGCTTCCGCAATCCCGTCCGTGCTTCTCGCAATGGTCCTTCCCCCGGGCATTTTTCCCGCAGCACCTCACATCGTTCTGGGCCTCCGTTTAAATCACTCCCTGCTCAACGCACTGCTGCTGCTGCCTCAGAGAATTTACCTTCCCCTGTCCCTATAGATCCTTCCACTCCAGTCTTCTCTCACACAGATGTCGAAGCCATGTTTCAACATTTTTGGCAACAATCCGATACCCCTTCCTCTCCTGCCTTGTCTGTCACCGCAGGTAACACTTCCTGGTACTTTGACTCTGCTTGTTGTAATCACATGACCTTTGACTCTACTATTTTTACTCCTATCTCTTTTACTCCTCATGTTCCTTCTATCCATACTGCTGATGGGTCTCTTCTGTCTGTAAGTCATGTTGGTTCTGTTTTCACCTCTCACTTATCTTTATCTCATGTCTATCTTATGCCTCCTCTCACTTTAAATCTTATCTCCATTAGTCAATTATGTGAGCATGGTCTAACTGTTACCTTTTCTCCTACTGGTTGTTTGGTGCAGGACCCTCGGACGGGGCAAACCCTTGGGATAGGCCGTAAGCATGGACGCCTCTACGAACTTATCCATCTTCATGTTCCGGATTCCTCTCAGATCACAGCTCCTACCACTGCTACCACTGCTCCTCGTTTATCTCCTTTTCAGCTTTGGCACTGTCGTTTAGGCCATCTTTCTGCTGGTCGTTTAAAAACTTTAATTTCTAGTGGTCATTTAGGTCCTGTCAGTTCTGATGCTGTAGATTGTGTGTCCTGTCAACTTGCTAAACAACCTGCTTTGTCGTTTAATAAAAGTGACTCTGTTTCTCTTGCACCATTTGATCTCATCCATTCTGATATTTGGGGACCCTCTCCTACTCCCACTATGGATGGAGCCCGCTACTTTGTTGTTTTTATTGATGATTTTTCCCGTTTTACATGGTTGTTCCTTATGAAAAGTCGCTCTGAGCTCAAACAACTTTATTACAATTTTGCTACAATGGTTAACACACAATTTTCTAAAACTATTAAGATTTTTCGCTCCGACAATGCCATGGAATATAAAGATTTTGACTTTCTTTCCTTCCTTCAGAGTCATGGTACTCAACCTCATCGTTCCTGTCCCGGTACGTCTCAACAAAATGGACGTGCTGAACGGAAACATCGGCATATTCTCGACACTACTCGTGCTCTTCTTCTATCTTCCTCTTGTCCGGAACATTTTTGGGGAGAGGTAGCTCTCACTGCTACTTACACTATCAATTGTATCCCTACACCTGTCATTCATAATCACACTCCTTATGAGCGTCTGCACGGCACCCGTCCTCCTTACACCAACCTTCGGGTCTTTGGCTCTGCCTGTTTTGTTCTTCTCCAACCTCATGAACGTACCAAACTTGAACCTCGTTCCCGCCTTTGTTGCTTCTTGGGCTATGGTATTGAACATAAAGGGTATCGTTGTTGGGATCCTCTCTCCCAACGACTTCGTATCTCTCGTCATGTGGTCTTTTGGGAACACAAAATGTTTTCCTCTCTCTCTCTCTTCCGTTTGTCCGTTCCCTCACCCTCTCTGTTTTTTACTGATCCTTCCACCGATCTATTTTCTGATGATCTTCCTCCACCACCCACGCCAGCTTCTCTCAAGATCGCCTTGCCTGCTGGACTGTCTCATGCCCTTGCTCCCTCTGATGGTCCTGCTCTTGCTTCCTCGGACTCCTCCCCTTCTGCTGAGTCTCTTCCTCTGACTCCTCCTCCGTCTGCTCGACCACGCCGGGTAACACAACTTTCTACTCGTCTTCGTGACTTTATTGTTGGTTCTACTGCTTTTTCTACTTATGAACCGACCTCCTATCGTGAGGCTCGCTCTAATCCTCTTTGGCAGCAAGCTATGACTACTGAATTGCAGGCTTTAGCCAAAACTCATACTTGGGACATTGTTGATCTTCCTCCTGGCAAGTCTGCCATTGGCTGCAAATGGGTATACAAAATCAAGACTTGTTCTTATGGATCTATTGAGCGCTACAAAGCCCGCCTTGTTGCCAAAGTCTTTAACCAAGAATATGGTATTGACTATGAAGAGACCTTCGCTCCTGTTGCTCGTCTCACCTCTGTTCGCAGCTTGATTGCTGTTGCTACCTCCTGCCACTGGGATCTTTATCAAATGGACGTAACCAATGCTTTTCTTAATGGTGTTCTTCTCGAGGAGGTCTACATGCAACCTCCCCCTGGGTCTACTTATCCACCTCATAAAGTCTGCAAACTTCAGCGTGCCTTATACGGTCTCAAACAAGCTCCACGCACTTGGTTTGCCAAGTTCAGCTCTACTATTCATGACTATGGTTTCACCTCCAGCTCTTATGATACTGCTCTTTTTATCCGGAAAACAGCTCAAGGGACCACCCTGCTTTTACTTTATGTGGATGACATGATTATCACCGGTGATGATATCGATGGTATTCTTCGCCTTAAACAGTTTCTCAGCCACCATTTCGAGATGAAAGACCTTGGTCCTCTCAGCTATTTCTTGGGTCTTGAAATCTTCCATGATTCTACGGGTTCTTTTATCTTTCAAGCTAAGTATACCTCTGATCTTCTCACCCGTGCTGGTCTTACGGATTGCAAGACTGTCTCCACTCCCCTCGAGCCTCAGAGTCGTCTTACACCTCTTGATGGCACTCTTCTCTCTGATGCTACCCTATATCGTCAGCTGGTTGGTAGTCTTGTCTATCTCACTGTTACTCGTCCTGATATTGCCTATGCAGTGCATATTGTCAGCCAGTTTATGTCGGCTCCTCGTACCCCTCATTATGCTGCCTTAATTCGTATCCTTCGGTATCTCAAAGGCACCATGTTTCATGGTCTTCATTATTCCGCCCGCTCCTCTCTCCAGCTTCGTGCTTTTTCCGATGCTGATTGGGCTGGAGATCCTACTGACCGCCGGTCTACTACTGGGTTCTGCTTTTTTCTGGGTGATTCTCTTATTTCTTGGCACAGCAAGAAACAAACTCTTACTGCTCGTTCCAGTACTAAGGCCGAATACCGTGCTCTTGCTGATACTACTCAGGAACTTCTCTGGCTTCGTTGGCTTCTTGCTGATCTGGGTGTTCCCTCCTCTGGTGCTACTGACCTTTTTTGTGACAATCACAGTGCTCTTCAAATTGCTCACAATGATGTTTTTCATGATCGCACCAAACATATTGAGATTGATTGTCATTTCATTCGCCAGCATGTTACCTGTGGTACTGTCCATCTTCTCCCTATTGCTTCTGTCAATCAACCCGCTGATATCTTTACTAAAGCTCATCCTCCTGGCCGCTTCACTGATCTTGTTTCCAAACTCAACTTGGTTGATGCTTTCCCTCCTTGAGTTTGCGGGGGGATGTTAGTATATTATTATACTTTGTATATTATTATACTTTAGCATTGTTTATTATTCTTTAGCATTGTATACGTTCGTTGTTATTATTATGTTTGTTAGCTTTATGCTTTCGGCTAGCTTTAGCCTTTCGGCGCCTTGCATCTCGCATGCCTCGCATCCAATGACAGGCTATAAGAAGAGAGCTAAGCTCCCTTTGTAATTGCACAACAAATTCAATATATACACCTCATTTATTCACTTGCTCTCTCTCTCTCTCTCTATCAATTTATTTTACAGTGGGGATTTACAATACCATGGGGTGGTATTGCATATCCCTTTTTTATCATATACTATCCGGACTCCCTATATCTAGAGCAATCAAATACGGGATATAGAAAGACAAGAAAACATGTGAGACTCACCTCGTCTTATATCCGATCTGACCCTCATATCTGCCTCTTATACATAGTAGTGCTTACATGGGCTGAAGGTGGTTTATCCATAGAGAGGTCCACGTCACAAGAAGCTCTAGATATTGATGAGATTCGATCAGGAAGCATCTTCCGGCACATGGGTAACAGATAGCCCTCTTGGAAAGCCTAACAGAATAGATAGTCCCCCTTCTCTAATCACGTTGACGACCTGAGTCGGGGGCATATGAGACGGTTATACCAAGTGCACCTTGATGAGCACTTTAAAAGTTAACCATAGTCTACTTTGGAGTGGATATTCAATCCTTAACTCCTCTGCAATCTTTTGCTCTTAAACTCTCATTTCTTAATTTCTAACTTTAGCATCAGGGGGTCTTCTTTGGCCACACCCCGGTTGGGCAGCGCTTATAGTGTTCTTTGTCTCGCAGGTCATGGTTCCTGGATCACCTAAATTTTTTAACTGATTGGTCACAACTCCTATTCTACCAGTGCAAAATTCTTCCTTGCTCAACCATAATGTCTTTGAATTTAGGCTAGCAAGTCTATGATTTTGGCCAGAAGTATCGTTTTGTATTTGCTAATATTAGTAGTATGTTTTCTTTACTTGATATTGTTGGCATTCCATATGGAATGGGATGGTATTCATGACATCGTGGAGGCGCCTATTGAATTTTGAGCCTAAAGAGATAAATCTGTAAAACCAACTGTTGGGTTGGACTGTAACAAACAATACTTCCAAGTCAAGGTTGGATGCACTAGCTAGACTATAATAGATAATACTTTCAAGTTTCCAAGTCAAGATTGAATTGCACTAGTTGAGCTATAACACATAATACTTTCAAGTCGAGGTTGAATCACTCAGGCTAGACAATAACATACAATACTTCCAACTCAAGGATGAATCACACATCCTACAAATATTAAATCAAGCGATTTGAAAATTGAAGGAAAATCTGATCCAATCAAAACAAGTATACTAAATCCTAAACAGCCCTATAACTAAATAAAATCAAGTGCCCCTGCCAATGGTTTTCAAAAGTTTCCATCTTTTAGCTCAACTTTCTCGAGAAAGAAAATGGTGCAGTTTGTTTATTTAGCTCATCCTCAACTCGATGTATACGAGCACATTATCAAAATATGTATTTAGCCAAAGACTGCCATAAAGTAGACACATTCATTACAGTAGCATTGGATTATACTGATATGAACACTTATTGTCTCACGTAGAGTAGTTTAGATTAGTAATGTCATTAACATTTTGACCTTCATGTTTCTTCTCACACTGCATCACCATCTTGATTATTATTCCATATCAAACATCAACCAAATTTCATTCACTCTGTCCTCAAACTCAAATGGTGAATTGTACTGAGCGACAGTGTACTCCGTGGCAATCTCAGACGCATGGCTTTTCTCAATGGCAGCCGACCAAACGGTGCCTGAAAGACTGGCATGCAAGGCAGCAGCTTCTTCTCCGACATCAGAGTCGGATACGAATCCGCTGAATTGTCTTACGGCTGCATATATTGGTTCCCATCTCTGGGCATGAAGGCCTTTGGCCGGAGGAGGGCTAGCTTGGTTCTCTTTTGGAACGTAAAAGCTCACAACAAATGAGGATACACAGAATGGTCCGTCGCTAGGCATGACTTGGGTGATCACGGGAGCTGTCATCTCTATCTTCTCTTCAAATTTGTTTTTCCCTTGAATGTAGTCGAAAAGCCTGAAAAAGTTTGTTTTCACGTTTTTATTTTTCATGTTTTCGGAAACAAAAATAGTGAAAAGTTTGAAATTATAATTTCATATTGTCTTTTTAATTTTGTGTGAAAGCAGTTTTCAAAATTTTCAGAAAACAATTTAAATGACTTTTTGTTTAGAAAACAGCTTTCAAAAACACTTAACAAACAAGCTTTCTATATCATTGTGGTTTTTCCAAATTTTTCAGTTTCCAAGAACAAAAAAACAATTTTCGAAACCATTCATATCAGAGATTAAATACAATTCAATACATCTATTGAAGTATTTTTCACACATTTATAATTATACTTAACCAACTATCAAAACTTACATACACAAATATACCAAGTACTCACAAGTAAGTAGGACCCTATCCCCACTTGGCGTGGGCTCATCCAAGTTGAAACATTTTTTAGTACAACTATTAGGCCACGTTTGTTTGGCGGATTAGGTTGGATGGAATTGTTAGTAAGATGGTTAGTGAAGAAATTGTTAATGTGGAGAATGTTAGTGAGGGGGATTAAGTAAAAGTGTATCTGTTTTTATGATAGTGTAAGAGATGGTTAGTGATGGAATTGTTAAATTATTTTAATATAAATTAAATAAAAAAAATTATTTCTATATTTAAAAAAAAAAAAAACTAAAGCAAATAAATGCTCTTGGTAAAATAAAATAAAATAAAATTTTTATATAAAATAAACTTAATTTGCTCATTATTTTCCCAATTCCATCCAAAATCCAGCCGAGCTAATCCTCCTATTGAAGGGGATTACTATGCCCCTCGCACTATCAACCCCTCTACCAAATCATCACCAAACAAGTTGTGAGTAGGACCTACAGCTATAGTTATCCAATCCGGCCACCCACACCGGTAAACAAACATGTCCTTAGTGTCCAAACATTTTCTCAACTAATGTGACAATTGTTGAGTCTCACATGGGTGTGAAATCCACCATGTAAGATATTTGATAAAAATGTTGATAAAATATTTGAGGTTTCTAGCATTCATCTTTTAATTGATAATAATCTTATGATCCCAGAGTCCTGTAACCAAACAGGATGGGAGGAAACACCTAGCAAGCAAACTGATAAAGAGAATAATACCATAAAATTTCATAGGCCAACTGGGTTAGCATAAGATGCAATATGAAGCAGTTAATTGTTTATTATTTTGTTAATTTATTTAAACTATTTTTTTAATCATACTCTATAAACAAAAACTGTAACGAACAGTTTGGCACATACTGTAATAAAAAATAAAGAAATTATAAACACCCCAAAAGTTCTGGATGTGATAAAAGAGTTCTTACTGTAAGAAGCCAGTTCTGGTGCTTTCAACAAGGGAGATGTCTTGAATGGGTGAAGTCGACATCCACACCGTTGAGTTATAGCGACGAATTTCATAGCCATCACCGACATGAATCACCTCATAGCTTGGGCACTCAATCCGGCTACAGGTTGGTGGGGCAGAAACGCCACCAGCCTTGTTACTCAGAGTTTCCGGCCACAGGCCGGAGTTAGAGAGGAGACTCAAGAGAAATGAGAGCTTGAACAGATTGAGAGAGGCTGTCATGGTGATATTTGGAATTGCTGAGAAAATTTAGAACTGAGTTTTGAGAGACACCGCAAAGCTAAAAAGGTTTGGTAGCTTCTTGTTAGAGAAAGAGTGAGGTGCCTAATGGCCACACAATTATAGGGGTGACTTGGTATAAATTTGTATGGTTGAAAATAAAGCTATGACTCTTCAATGAAACAACTGTAAAATCCAATTTTTTTATGTGTAGAATTATTTTTGGATAAAGTAGTAATTAAATTAATTTATATGAGTCATTTTAGTAACATCAAGGAATTAGTTATGAGGTGGTTTTTTTTTTTTAATTTTTATTACTTAGATGGTTAAGTTTGTAATTTTGGGAGATTGGGTTATAGGCCCACTTGGGCTTTAGGTCTTGGAAACATAGAAGCACAAACAAATAGAGGTAGTGATGTTGTTGTGGCTGCTGCGGCAGATCTAGCAATAGAAAAAAAAAAAAAAAAGAGAGAAGAAGAAGAAGAAGAAAAGAAAAGAAAGAAGATTCATAGATTCGTGACTTTGATCTAATCATCTCTTGGAGGTAAGATTTGTTTTTATGGTACTCCTAACTATTTCTTTAGACATAGTATCTTATATGTGGATTGGGTGTATGTATTTTGGGGTTTTGGAATTTACTTGTAGACTATAGGATTAGATTATTACATTATAAAGAAAAGAATGATAGATGCATCATGGTGATCAATAATAATTGTTTATGTGGTATACTTGATCCAGCTGGCAGTGATGGTTGGTTATTTACTAGGCTGTCTAGCTTACCCTTATTTTATTTTTTTCAGATTCTGAAGAGTAGAGCTGCGCGGGATTTTTTTTTTTTACATATGGGAGTGCCGAGAGTAGGACTATGATTTAAGTACTTGGATTATTTGTTTTGTTAATGGATTTTATTAGTGGACTTGGTGGATAATTTCATACGATAAGAATAATCAATTTTTTTTTTATATGGATTTTAGTATTATGATAATTAAGGATTTGATTGGAGTATTTTACATTGTTAGTTATGTGTTGGACTCTTAACCTTGCATGCTCACTTAAATGAGTGTGCGGCGTTGTCACGGAGCTTGAGACGTGACAACAACCCCCATTGTAAATTCACAATCGTGAATTGTATTCCCAATTGGTTTACATGGTTACACGTGGAGGTAACGTTATCGGAATCTATAGGGCATATGTTGAGAAACAATAATAATTTTAATCACAAAATCAATCAACAATTTTTTTGGTGACTCTCTTGTCGGTTTTGTGGTTGTAGAATCATGGGTTGAGTAATATTATTTGGTATTTTGCACATAACAAAGCAATTACTCATGGGGAGCCAAAGCCAAAAAAGCAAAAGGAATCATAATTCATATTGGCAATTATTGGCATGGTCCAGAACCTGAGGCAGGGACCATTTAGAACATGGGGATATCTTTTGGTTGGTTACAAATTTCTTTTGGTACACAAGTTGACCTTGTGTTTAGATATTGAATTTGAGCAAAAGATTAATGGAGAGATAGAAAGTCGAAGGAAAAATTGATATAAGTTTATCTTTATCTGTTATTTTGTTGACGTCTTCAACCCTCTTAGAATCATTTATATTTGTGTTTATTAAATTGAATTGTTTGATGACTTCTTACTTTCTTAATTTTTTTGGGTTAATTTTACACAGTTCCTTTTATCTGAATAACAATATGAATTTCAATATATTCAATTAATAAATTATTAGGATTTTGTACCTTTAGACAACTTTCAATTTAAGCATTTCTATATATTCAAATTATTTGTCAATTCCGAAACTTTTCGAAATGGTTTCTTTTCCATGCTAATAGAAACAGCATACCGAAACCAAATTTTGATGCTTGGAGATAAAAGATTAATCATAGGAGTCTAATGAACATTGTACATGTAAAGATCAAAATCCTCCTACCATCAATAAAGACCGGTATAATTTTCACTAAGAAAAACATACTAGATTTTATAGCTTCACAGATTAACACAAAATGTTCTCAATGACTAAGTTCTAGAAAGAAGAACTGAGTAACGTATCTGAAACGTAAGACGCTCCTGCTCCATCAAAAAAATGAAATTTAACCACATTGCCGGAATAAGTTGTTTCATTTCATCCATAATTTATGGTTTTGTGATCAAGAAACCAAGTCATTGTGACAATTAAGTTGTTTCATTTCATCCATAATTGTCCACAATATCCTTCTAATCTCTTGAAAATTTATATGGGATTGATCACCTGCAAAAAACAAATTAACCTTGTCTTTCACTATAATCCAACTACAACCCGGACTCTTTTTTATCCCTTTTGATTTCTTGGTCATTCTCACTTGCTCCTCATCCTTTCCTTTTCCTCCAATAGAGTATATGTCATGTAATACCACATAAGGTGTTGCATTATTAGGCTCCAGTTCAAAAAGATGTTGAGCTGCGACCTTTGCAACATCAAGACGTAAATGGGTCCTACTTGCACCAAGAAGAGCACCCCAAACCCCAGAATGGGGTTCAAATGGCATTGAATCAATCAGGTTCATTGCTTCATCAAGCAAACCGGATCTTCCAAGGAGATCAACCGTGCAGGCATAATGATCAGGCCCTGGCTCAATGTGGTATAAAGATCTCATGGATTTGAAGTAGTTCCATCCTTCTTCTACTAGTCCCACATGGGTACAGGCTGAGAGGACCCCGAGAAAGGTAATTTCATTAGGTTCCTGACCTACATCTTGCATTTTCTTCAATAACTCGACTGTTTCTTTTCCAAACCCATTTTGGGCAAATCCAGTTATCATTGAGTTAAAAGAAACAATATTGGGGACCCTGATGGATCTGAATATCCTATAGGCATCGTTTACATTTCCACATTTTGAATACATTGAAACAAGTGAATTTTGGATGGACAAATTGAATTCCATAACCATCTTCAGAACATGAGCATGGATTTGCAAGCCTTGGTTTAATGTTGCCAAACCGGCCGAAGCACTGAGAACACTACTTAAAGTAAGAGGATTCGGTCGGACTGATTTCCGAAGCATTTGGATGAACCAACAGATAGCCTCCTCATATTCCCCATTATTCACAAAGCCTGATATAACAGCAGTCCAAGCAACATCGTCTTTCTCAGGCATCATTTTAAACAACTCAATAGACTTTCCAGTCAACCCTTTGCTAGAGAAACCCGTAATCATGGTTGTCCAAGAAACCACATCTTTCTCCGGCATCTTCTCAAAAAGTCTGTAAGCCACTTCAATATCTTGGGCCTGAACATAACCCGCAATTAGCGAATTCCAAGAAACTACATCTTTTTTGTTCATCATGCAAAATACATTACTAGCTGCATCTACACAACTAAACCTACAATACATGGTAATAACAGAATTTCCCAAGAAGACATCGAATTCAAATCCCATACGCAAGACCAAACCATGCACTTGATACCCTTCTTCATATCTACCACAGTTTCCACAAGCTTCAAATATTATGGTCAGTGTAGTAGAATTGATTTTTACACTATCTTCCCGTCTCATTTCCAAGAAGAATCTGAACCCATCTTTGAAATTCCCCATCTTCAAATACCCATTTATCATCGCAGTCCAAGTAACCACATTTCTCTCTTTCATCCTATCAAACAAATCTCTAGCCTCCCCAATCCTTCCCTCCTTGCAGTACCCATCAACCATTGAGCTCCAAGAAACCACATCTTTCTCCACCATACCCTCAAAAACCCAAATCGCTTCTTTCAAATCACCCATCTTCAAGTACCCAGAAATCAACACATTCGAACAAACCGGGTCCCGCCAAATCACAGGCATCTCCGCATACAATTCCTTAGCTTTCTCAAGCATTCCCGCCTTAACAAAACCCGTGATCATCGCAGCATAAGAAACTGCATTTCGCTCAGGCATTTTCCCAAACAATTCAATAGCTTGATCAATTCCATGAACATTGCGAATGTAACCCGTGATCATTGCATTCCAAGACGCAACACTTCGTTCAGGCATTTCATCAAACACTTCACGGGCTTTCTTAATCTGCCCATTCTCAGCATACACAGTGAGCATTGCTGTCCAAGAAATGATGTTTTTGGTGGGCATGCGATTGAAAATGGACTCGGCATCTCTGGTATTTCCGTTTCGGCCATTTTTTGTGATCTGGGAATTGCAGTAAACTTGAAATTTGGTGGATTTGGGAGTGGGTTTTGAGAGGATTTGAGTTGTGGAAGTTGAGAAAGTAGTAATGAAATATGAATAGTTTAGTTTAGAGAAGTTTATATAGGTATGAATATAAGTTCGATTAGCTAACATGATTGAGAACTCTGCAACGAGTCCATAGCAGAGTGAGTGCTTTGGGTTCGCCAGTTGAAACTGTTTCGCGCCCTTTCAACGATACCGACGAAATATATAAGCCGTCCTCATTTTAATTTTTCACGTATATTTAATTTTGAATTTTAAATTTTACATTAAATAAGGACAGTCAAATATATTTTCGTCAAATATATTTTCTTTACAAATGGTCCATTTAAAAGGTAAAGTCGTTATACAATTTATTTTATCAGAAATGCTTCCGACCCCCACTGGGGGTCACTGGGGGATTGGCCCAAAAAAACAGTTTTCTTTTTTTTCTTTTTTTTTTTTGTGTTTTCAGCGAATAGGGGGTCGCCACCTCACTGGGGGTCGACCCCCACTGGGTGTATAAATCACGGTTGTTATTTTATATTGATTAATTTATATATTGTTTGAAATGTAATGAAATTTTTTTTAATAATATGTTAGAACTTTCTTGGTTATAAAGTTTTATTTGATTTGGTTTTCATAATCTATTTTCAAAAAAAATTCCTAACAAGGTAAAAATTAAATTGGTGAAAAAAAATTAAAAACAAATCATTTTTATATAATTTTATCTTTTGAGGGGATAGAAATTTTTTTTAAAATAATTTCCTTTTATATTTATTTTCATTAAATTAGTTTCTATTTTTTTAAAAGTCAAACATAACGACAATTTTGATATCATTATTAAACTAATCCATTAAATCAAAAAAATTAAAATTAAAAACATTTCATATATTAAACATATCTATTACACATTAAAAGTTTAATAATCATCCATTAAATGATAATCATCTAAAAATATCTGTTAACAACAAATACAACCATATCCAAAAATATCAATAAAAACAACCGCTCATTACATGATCATTATCAAAACACATACTAAAAATTAATTTGGAAAAAAAATTAAAAAAATCAAAAAGTAAAAGATTTATCATTTTTATATAATTTTATCTTTGGTGAGTATAACTAATTTTTAAAAAATTAAAAATATTTTTTTGACATTTATTTTTGTTAAACTAATTTATATTTTATCAAATTGTCAATTTTTCCCTTGAAATGGAGCAACAGTATCTTCAATTGTCCTTATTTGAAATGATATTCAAAATTTAGAATTAAATGTATCACAATTGAAAAATTATAGACTAAAGTGACACAAGCCTTAAATTACAAGGACCATCAGTGTAATTCACTCTATAAATAATTATATATTAATTAAAAATATAATTATTGCTACCTCTCTTAAAAATAATATATTTTTGTATTAAAATTTTTAAAAAAAAAATTAAAAGATTAAAAGTACTTAAAAAAATATTTTAATTTGTGAAAAAAAAAATTAATACAAAAATATATTATTTTAAAGTACTCAATTTTCGTACCAGATAAATAATTTGGGACACTATGAGTAAAATATTTTAGTAACAAAAATGTTTTCATAGGACATGCATATATATATTTTTTAAATATAAATGCATTTGGCTAATTATTTTTACATTCATTATTTGCAAAATAAATAATCACGAAATGAAAATGCAACGTAATAAATAATAATATACATTTTTCAGAAGTGAAAGTGAGAAAGGATAAAAACCTTTCCTTTCTCAATTTTTTGTTTTCCTTCAATATAATTTTTGGACCTTTGACCTAATTCCTAAAAGAGTGATAATGGGCAGAGACTAAGCAAGCATTTACAATATCCATTACTTCAATTTCCTGTCCCTGTTTAATGATTAAATGGCTTTAGCTGGGGAAATCAAGCTCAACATAGTTGGCTGTGCAAGAGGTGATTGAGGTGAAGAACGTTTTGGAGGTGTCTTTAGAGATGAGAAGGGGTCTAACTGTGTAGGTTCTATGGGAAGTTGACTGTACGTACCAGACTCCGCACTAGATAAAAGTGGATCAGGGCTCTTCACTCAGTTGGACTATCCAAGGATTGAGGTTCCTGCCATGAGAAGCACCGTAAGAGCTGCCCGGCCGGGGTTGGTCGGATAACCCCTCCAGTGTGGGAATCAATTATCGAAGAAGAAGTGTAGAGAGTTGAGTTTGTAAGTAAGTGATGTTCAGCTTGGATCGGTTTAGTTACCTTCAATATGAAGTTCATGTAGTATATATAGGATTCCTTACTTGCTTCTCAAAATGGTTTTATGGAACTTTGGTGCTGCCAGATTTTCCTTTAGCATGGCACCAGGTGGGGGACCATCTGGTAGTTGTCAAGAGGTGCTTATACTCATTGTAGTCATGCTGATAACAAACCTCATTCTTCTGGTTTAACAGCTTCCGTGATTCTAGGTGTAGGGGACCAGCTGAGGTGGCAACTTGCACATGCACATACTCACAACTTCCACGTTTCTCTGCGAGGTTTCCTCAGCTCGGTACCTTGGTTCCCTAGTTCGACCCTAGACGTGGCTTCTGTTGGGATGGGCTGGTCCATTCGAATATCTTTATGTGGGCTCGGCCCACTTTAGTTCGGCCCATAGATTAGGTCTTGCAGCTCGGCCTAGCCCAGCATCGCTGCTGGACTAGCCTTTCCACTGTGGGTTTAGCCCAAGTGCTTGAGGGCTTGGGTAGACTGTGATCATGAAGTTGGGCTTAGTTGGGTTGGCCATATGCTCATCTGACCCATTTGGATTTGGGCTTGGGTGATTGGACCGGCCCAAGGCTTGGGTCCGACCCATTTCTTATTTACCCCATTCATTTGTCCCCTAGCTCGCGCTAAGGTTCCCCTTGGGGGGAGCTACGATTCTGTACTCCAAGCGTCACATCGCTTCAGTTCTACCCCAGTTCGGCCTTGGTGACGGTTTAATCCTAACACACAACCCCTGCATGCGTCCTTTCGTGGTGACACGTGGTGACGTAGGATAGGTGTGCAGAGATAGTGCGTCGATTCCATACCGAAGGTCGTGCTTCGTGTACCTTCACGCCGGCTGATAGAATAAACGCTCTGGCTGTCAATCCAAATCCCTTTATCTACTTTTTCGTTCTTCTAGAGAGTTTCAAAGAAAAGAGAAGAACCCTTCCCATTCCTCTGAACTAGTCTCGTTGGTGCTCTGCTCAGACTTTCCATTGCCGGTCTTGCTTCAGCACCGCCCGTTCACCACCGCTACTCTGATCTGTGTAAGTTCTCTTGTGATCCTTCTTCTCTTGTCCTTTTCTGTTTCAATCATCTTGTCTGGCCCTTGCGCTGTTGTGTTCCCCATCTTGGTATCTGAGTTCTACCCCTGTACCACTAGGTTTGGTTTAATGGGAAAGTTTCGCTCATTAGTTGATACTCCTGAGGCCATGGCCATGTTTCGTCGTGATTACAATATCCCCGATGATGTGACCCTTTCGCTGGCAAGGGTCCATGCCAAGCGTATGGGCACTGGAAACACTATCGCTTTTCCAGTTGCATCCATCGTCGAGGGAGGGGTTCGTTTTCCTCTCGACCCTTTGGTGCGCCGATTTCTGCACTAGGTTCAACTCACCCCAATGCAAGTATGTGTTAACCTGTTTCGTGTCGTCTGTGGTGTGTCCGCTCTCAACAAGCGGTTGGGTTTGAATCTCGATATTTGGGACATTTTGGGCTGCTACACGTTTCTCATAACAAGGATCATAGCACATACTACCTGCGTGTTTGTTCGATCGACTGTCATCTGGTGACTGGTTTGCTTGATTCAGACAAGAATAATGATGATTTTCTACAAGTTGGCGGCAACTGGGAGTTCCCCGCCGGGACCGAGTTCCAGTCCGAACGAATGCCTCTGAAGGATGGCTACCAAGTTCGAATCCTTCCTCCAGTGTCTTTTGTATTTCTTGCCTTTGTTTTGGATATTGTTTTAATGTGGCACTTCTTTTTTGTAGAGGGCTCTCGTTTTTAGCGAAGGCCGAACTGGGAGAACACTGAGGCCATCAAAGCCGTTCTGAGGTACAAGAAGAGGTCCGCACCAGAGTTGTTGGATTACCAAGCGACTTACCGCTCTGTCATTCCGAAGAAAGCGAGGCTCGCTGCATCCCTTTTAGATTATGATACTGAGACTGACACATCCCTCACTCCTCTGGTTACGAATCGCCGTCGAAGCCAGGGTGCATTTCCTGAAAGGACGCCCTCTCTTGCCCCCAGTTTCGCAGGGGGTAGGTCCGTATCGAAGAGGAGAGTGCTAGTGGATTTGGAGGCTGAGGCTTTTGGTGCCTCTGATACTTTGGAGACCCCTTTGTTAAAGGCCGAGGCAAAGAGCCTCATGGATGTAAAAGTAGAGATGGGAGCTTCTAGGACTCACGCTGCTACTGTCGAGCCCTCCGCTTCGGTTGCTACGAGGGCAAAAAAAAGGAAGAGAGAGACTGGCAAGGCAGTGGTGGGGGAAGCTTCTGAAGATCCTATTGAGGACGAAGCACTTGAGAAATGGGAATCGCCGATGCTGCATCAAGGCAGGTCCGTTTCTATCTCTGATTCGGTTGTTGTTTCCCAAGATTTTGCTTTTGATTTGACCAAGACTCTGTTGATGCCAGTTGACATGACTGACCATAATGGGCCCCACAATATTCCTATTTAGAAGGGAACCCTTCAGATGATGACTATTGTAAGTGCTTTCTTGTTTTGTTTGCTTTTAGTGTTATGCTACTGCTTTCTTTCTTTTAATACTTTATAATCCGTTGCAGTGTATTCAAAGGATGCATATGTCTATCACCCGTGCTGAAGAACTAGAAAAGGCCGTGCTGGAGGCCGCTATGAACGACAAGAGACTGACGGTGAGCCTCGAGACCGAGAAAGAAGGACGCTGAACTGCCGAAAGGGAGGCATTCCGTTTGAACAAGATTGTTGCTTCAGCTAAAATATCAAAGGAGGCTGCTATTGGGGCGTAAGCTCAACTTGAAGGAAAATTGGCCGAGCTGGAGGCCGTTATCGCGGTGATGGCTGCCGAGCGTTCTGCGTTGGAGGCCAAGCATTAGCAACAAGGTTGGGATGAGGTTGGGGCTGCCTATAAGGAGAAGGTGCTAGTGCAGCAAGATAAGCTCTTTCTAAAGGGTTGGACGAGTACTTTAGTTGCTGCCCTGGTTCCTGAAGGGTCTCCCCTGCTCCAGGATGTCCCAATTCCCTCAAGGTCCTTGGGTTCAAAGATTGTCTCCACCCCTGCTGTTCTTCCAGCTGAAGTTTTCCCGAAAATTGATTCTGCAAACAAGACTCAGGACAGTGATGTTGCCATTGAAACGGTGAATGTTAAAGGGGGTGAAACCCTGGAGACTGAAGCTGCGGGAGATGTGGTTAAGGAAGCTTCCACTTCTCAGGAAGTTGGAGCTGCCTGTACTTTTTCTCCTCAAGACGGCCTGGACAAGATTGTGGACACTGCTCTTGAGGTTCTCTCTATTAATGAAAGTTAAAGTTCTCTCTGAATGGAATTGAAGTTTTTGCTTTTCTGTTTTGATGTGATGTGGCTCGGCCCCCTTAACGAGCTTTCTCTCTATACTCGCCAAGACAATTTTTCTTTTTCTTTTTTTTTTTTTCTTCTTTTCTTTGTTGCTGGCTATGAGACCATCTGTGCCTTTTGTTGGATGATGGGATTTTCCTTTTGAATTTGCAATCTGATGCTGTTTAGCTTCTATGTCTAAATGTTTTCTGTACTGCTTACCCCTGTTGGGACCTCGGGGCCGAACGGATGCTCGGTCTAGGTAACGAATATGTTACATGGTTGTGCTTGATTTTGTAATGAAATGAAGAGGGTCTTACTTAGGTCCAAGTTGGTTCTAAAAAACAATTGTTTGCCCCCACCTGGAGCTAAGTAAGATTAGTATTGAAGATTGTGCTCTTAGGTAGAACTGCATAAGTCTGTTACAACTTTGATAGCACAGGTGCATTTGAATGGGATAAAGGCATGAAGAGGTGTCTTACTCAAGTCCAGGTTGGTTTGAAAAAACAATTGTTTGCCCTCGTCTGGAGTTGAGTAAGACTAATGCTGGAAGTTTGCTTCTGACAGAGCTGAGTCAAGTTTGTTCCAACTCTGTTTGTTCGCATCAGTACTGAAGTGTTGACGTGACGATACTTAAGAAATTTTGTGGATTCAGAGATGTTTACTTAAGATATGTTAGTGTGGTTTCCACAGAGCAATTCCACTTGGCTAAAATCCAATTTAGTTGCCAAACATAATTCCATCAAGCAATACCACTTGGCATGTTTGAGTGCTAACCAAATTTAAATTCCGTTCAGTTGTTCTGAAACTAAGCTCGTTTGGGTTTAAACCAAAGCTAAGTTCGTTTTATAAACATCAAAGCTAATTCCGTTTGATAAACATCAAAGCTATTTCCGTTTGGTAAGTACCAAAGCTAATTCCATTTGATAAACATCAAAGCTAATTCCATTTGATAAACATCAAAGTTATTTCTGTTTAGTAAGTACCAAAGCTAATTCTGTTTGGTGAGTACCAAAGCTAATTCCGTTTGATAAACATCAAAGCTAACTCTATTTGGTGAGTACCAAAGCTAATTCCGTTTGATAAACATCAAAGCTAATTACAAGAATTTGATAAATTTGAAAGAAGTGGGAAAGCATTTGCATTGGTCAACAGTTGCCTTTACATTCTGATAGAGAAGTTGGGGGATAATTCTATTTGTAGTATTTCTTGAGATTTGCTACATTCTAAGGCCGAGGTATAGCTCTACCTTTGAGATCCTCTAGGTAGTAAGCTCCATTTCCAGCAACAATTGTGATTTTGTACGGTCCCTCCCAGTTAGGCCCAAGTTTGCCTTCGCCAGGCACCCTTTTGTGATCCATAACTTTTCTCAGAACCAGTTCTCCAGGTCTGAATTGCCTTGGGGAGACTTTTTGATTGAAACTTTTGATGAGCTGCTACTGATACGCGATAAGTCTGATCATTACTGCTTCTCTTCGGCCCTCTGCCATATCTAGTGCTTATGCAATAGCTTCCTCATTACTTGTGCTTTCAAACAATTCAGACCGAAGGGTTGAGAGACCTACTTCGAGTGGGATGACGGCCTCCATTCCGTAAGTTAGGGAGTAAGGTGTTTCTCCCGTTAAGTGCCGTGCTGTGGTTCGGTATGCCCATAGTAAGTGGGGTAACTCTTCAACCCATATTTCTTTTGCATGCTCAAGCCGTTTCTTTACTCCATTGATGATGGTTTTGTTTGACGCTTCTGCCTGTCCATTACTTTGTGGGTACCCTAGAGAAGAGTTCCGATACTCGATCCTGCGGTCGGCACAAAACTTTCTGAAGATTTTTCCATCGAACTATGTTTCATTATCCGCAATCAGTATCCGCGGGATGCCGAAACGCATCACCACGTTTCTCATGACAAACCGCTTCGTATCCGCTTCTTTGATACTTGCCAGCGCCTCGACTTTAACCCACTTAGTGAAATAGTCGGTTGCAGCAATGAAGAATCGCCTGTTCCCAGTGCCTCGTGCCAATGGTCCAACAATATCCAGACCCCATTGGGCAAAGGGCCATAGGCTAGTGAGTGGAATGAGAGTTTTGGCTGGCTGATGAATGAGTGGAGCAAACCTCTGACATTTATCACACTTCTGTACGTACTGCTGCGCATCTTGTTGCATCCGTGGCCACTAGTACCCGTGAGTAAGGGCTCGGTATGCCTGTGCCAGCGACCTTACACCAACGTGGGATCCACAAATCCTATCGTGAATTTCGTAGAGAACATTGTCAACCAGATTTGGATGCACAGATAGAAAATAAAGGCCAAGATAGGAGCGTCTGTACAGCTTTCCCGATGGTGAGATCCAAAACCGAGCCGACCTATGTCTGACTTTGTTAGCTTCCTTTTTATCTTTGGAGAGAGTACCAGATTTTAGAAAAGCAAGTATCGGATCCATCCAGCTCGACTCTAAGTTGCTGCAGAGGACTGGAGATGCAATGCTTGGTTCTGGCACGAACTCAACCCAAACTTTTCCAGCATCTTTGGTATCCACTGATGAGACGAGGCAAGCCAGAGCATCAGCATGGCTGTTTTTGTCCCAACTAATCCGTTCCACTCGTATGGATTGAAACTTTTTGAGTAGGTCTTTGGCCTTGCCTGCGTACATAGCCATTCTTTCATCTCGTGTTTCATAGATCCCAGAGAGCTGGTTTACCACTAGTTGTGAATCGCTGAAAACAAGAAGCTGTTCTGCACTGAAGTGTTCGGCATTACGTAAGCCAACCAATAATGCTTCGTACTCTGCCTCATTGTTTGAAGCCTTCCAACCGAGCCTGAGAGCTTGTTCCCAGATAAATCCTTCTTGTGGCATAAGTACTACTCCTACCCCCGAGCCTCGGTTATTGGATGACCCGTTAACATAAAGCTGCCAGATGTTTCCAATAAAAAGTCTTCATGCGTCCGAAGCGCAGTGTTTTCCATGTTCGGTGATGCATGGCGCCTGTGCCGAACTAGGATTCTCTGGCTCGATACTCTGGGTGGGAGCAAATTCTGCGACGAAATCTGCTAAGACCTGGGCCTTGATCGTCGTCCTAGGTTGATACCAAATGTCAAACTCACCAAGTTCTACCGCCCATTTTGCTATTCGACCAGAGAAATCAGCTCAGCTGAATACAGATCTAAGGGGGAATTTAGTGAGGACATTGATGGTATGCCTCTAGAAGTAATGTTGCAACTTTCTTGAGGCGATAAGCAGCCCGTAAGCTAACTTTTCCAAGGGTAGATACTGTGTCTCGGCATCTAGTAAAGTGTTGCTAACAAAGTATATTGGCCTCTGTTCCTTGTTAACTTCTCGAATTAGTACTGCGCTTACGGCATGATCTGAGACTGCTAGATATAGGTACAGCTCATCTCCTGGTTCTGGAGTGGACAGAAGAGGTGGTGTGCTGAGGTATCTTTTGAGACTTTGCAGTGCTTCGGTACACTCGGAACTCCATTCAAACGCTTCCCTTTTCCTTAATAGCTGGAAGGAGGGCTTCATCCGATCTGAAGATTTACTGATGAACCGATTCAGGGCGACCGCCATTCCGGCCAGTTTCTACAGCTCTTTAGCCTTTATTGGTACTTCAAGATCTTATATTGCTTTGATTTGATCTGGATTCGCCTCAATTCCTCTGCGAGTGACCATGTATCCCAAGAACTTCCATGTTCCTACCCCGAAAACGCATTTCGAGGCATCGAGGCGAAGCTAATGGTTTTTCAGGATGTCAAAAACTTCTCTCAAGTCTGCAAGGTGGTTTGTAGCGAGCTTGATTTTTACTACCATATCATCTAAATAAGCTTCCATGGTTTTCCTAAGTTGGTCCTTGAACATCCGAGTGATCATTCGCTAATAGGTTGCCCCGGCGTTCTTGAGGCCGAACGACATTACTTTGTAGCAGTAAGTTCCTCTCGGAGTGATAAATACTGTCTTTTCTTGATCCGGACCGAACAGTGATATCTAGTAATAGCCGCTATAAGCGTCCAGAAAGCTCATGCGCTCATGCCCTGCTGTTGAGTCTACCAGTTGATCGATGCGAGGCAGCGGAAAGCTATTTTGGGGCAGGCTTTGTTTAAGCAAGTGAAGTCAACGCAAACTCTCCATTTTCTGTTCTTCTTTTTTACTACGACTGTGTTGGACAGCCATTGTGGATACTAAACTTCTCTGATCGCTCCCGATGCCAGGAGTTTTTCAACTTCGGCAATTACTGCTTCAGTGTGCTCAACTGAGGATCTCCGACTTTTTTGTACAATGGGCCGAGCGGAAGGGTTGATGTTGAGCTTGTGGCAAGCAAATTCTAGGTCCAACCCTGGAGTATCATATGCTGACCATGCGAATACTTCCATATTTTCCCTCAGCAATTCCAGCAGCTGAAGTTTCTCATCAGCGCCTAGCGAGGTACCGATAAGGAAGTACTTTTCTGGATCATCCTTTTTTACTAGGACTTTCTCCAAATCCTCTACTATCTTTTCCTCTGGGGCTCCCCCTACATCTTCCAAGACTGGTTGTTCGGCCATTTCCATTGTTTGTACCTGGTTGCAGAGTTGCTTTGCCTTCAATGCCGCCATGAAGCAATGTTTGGACGCAACTTGATCCTCTGAGATCTGCTCTACTCCGTATTCCGTTGGGAAACGGATGAGCTGATGGTAGGTTAAAGGGACTGCCTCCATTTGATGAATCCATGGACGGCCAAGTATGACGTTGTAAGGGGATGGTGTATTAATAACTAGAAACTCTGTCTGGAGGGCTTTTGTTCCTGCCACGACTGGCAACACTATTCTGCCAAGCGGCCATTCTAGCTGTGAATTGAAGCCAACTAACGGAGCTGTCGCTGGGGTGAGGTCCTGCTCGGAGAGACCAAGCTTTCTGAACAAGTCATAATATAATATGTCTGCTGCGCTGCCTTGATCTACCAAGACTCGTTTTACGTCAAATCATTTCCCAATTCCCACAGTTATAATCAGTGCATCAGTATGTGAGTGTTGTATGCCTTCTAAATCTTTTCTAGTAAATGAAACAGTGCACAAGGGGGGTTTGGGTACCGTGCATACCTTTTTCGATGCGGGCTCTACTGATATGACTTGCTGAATTTCCACAGCCTTAGCAATCTCTTCTTTCAGTGCCTCCTCACATCCCTGGGTCGCTGTTCCATGGATCACATTTATTATTAGCCGAGGTGGGTGCTCAGTATTCGGTTCTGGTGGTGGGTTCCCCGGTTCGGTTACTTCCTTATACTGATCAATGTAATCCCGAAGGTGCCCAGCTGCTACTAGGTCCTCTAAGTGTTGCTTCAGTGCTCTGCAGTTCTAAGTCATGTGTCCCCTGTCTTAATAGTAGGTGCATCTGAGCTTCTAATTGCACCGAGCCGGATCTCCCAACATTTTTGGCGGTCAAACAAAGAAGGGCTCTCTCTTGATCTTTTCCAAGATTCGATAGATCGGTTCTTTGAATACAGTCACAACGGCTTCGTGAGATTTGGACTTATCCACCTCATTCACTGTGAGGCCTCGGTGTTCTCCTCGATCTGTTTTCTTCTTATGGCGAGCTGTTTGTTGTGCTGATACTACCTCGATGAGGATCTGATCATCTTCGAGGCGAGTGTACTGCTCAATCTTGGCACGCAAATTTTTCAATGCTGTGGTCGGGCGCTTGGTAAGTGATTGTCTCAACTTACTTTCCGGTCGCAAACCATGTTTGAAAGGCATAACGGCCATCTGCTCACTGCACACATTTTCCTCCAGGTCATTGTACTCTTCCCAGTACCTCCTAGCATAACTGCGCAGCGTTTCTTCCTGCTCCTTTCGGAGACCGAACAGTGTATCCGGCTCTTTCGAGATTTTAGTATTGGAGACGAACCTGGCTAGGAACTCTTCGGAAAGCTGCTTCCAGCCATGAATTGATCCAGCGAGGAGCCGATCGAACCATCGAAGTCCAGTTTCTCCCAAGCTGGATGGGAAGACTTTGCACATCAGTGCCTCATCTCGGCTCCATAGAGACATTATCTATCTGTAATGGCTAATATGCGTTAGTGGGTCTGACTTCCCATCGTACAAAGTGAACTTTGGCATGGTGAATTTCTTTGGAGGTCTCATGGCCTCAATTTCCGGGGAGAATAGCGAGGAAACGAGCCTATCCAGCACTCAATGCTCTCTCTGGTGAACAGTGCGGTCCAGATGATCCCGATGTTGCTCGTTCTGCTTGTTGCCGATCAACCAAGTACGAAGGTCTTGAGGAGGGTATTCAGTCTATTGGCTAACCGTCTTCTGCCTTTTAGCCCTTCTCCGACGTGACCCACGGGTGTGGCTACTCGACGCCTCACTCTGTACCGGGATAGGCTGGCTTTGTTTCCCAGACTTATTTCTGGGGAACTTCTTCACTGATGGCTCTCTAGATAAGCTCCTCCATTGCAAGCGAAAGGGCTCTGCTTCAGTCTTCTTTTCCGTTGGATCACCCAGTACCCTTTTAAGTTGGGCTTTTAGCTCCTATATCTCCATCCCCATGGAGTCTATGATTCGATCTCTGTAATCCTTTTCTAGAAGAAAGTGATGAGAAGAACCTCCAGTGAAGGATAATTGATGCTCGACGGATTCAGGGGTCCGGTTATTGTTTCCAGTTTGTTCTTCTAGGACTGTTGGGAGTGCCAAGCTTTTATCCTTTGTCTTCTCCGTCTGTGGAGTATGTGTCAAAGATGGGATGTCCTCAATCCCCATCGCCAGAATCAAGTGCAGAACTCAAAGACAAAGCAGTCCACGCTCACCGCACCGATTGTGCGTACTGAATACCGCACTAGATGATTGTGGATCAGAGCCCCATACTTGATTGGACTGTCCAGGAATTGAGGCCTTGCAAGAAGGAGCATCGTCAAAGCTGCCCGGCCGAGGTTGGCCGGATGACCCCTTCGGTGTAAGAATGAGTAATCAGAGAATAAGCAAGGTGCTCTCCAAGTGCAGAGAGTTAAGTTTCAGTGAGTAGAGTTTAGCTTAGATCAATTGCCTTCAATGTGAAGTCGGTGTAGTTTATATAGAACTCCTTGCTTGTTGCCCAAAATGGTTTCATGGAGCTGTGGTGCTGCCAGGTTTCCTTTTAGTAGGGGTGTTCATGGTTCGGATTTGGACGATTTGCGGATCGGTTTGGAGCCGCCCGCATTTATGCGGTTTGGGGAAAAAACAACCCAAAACCAAAGTTAACCCCTTAGGCATTAACACCTTCACCCAACTCACATTAACAATAGAGATTTACAACATAGGTTAACTACCCTCCATTTTAATTTACCAAATCAAAATATAATTTAGGGCTTTTTCTTCTATCAACTATAACATGCTAATTTACACTCCAATCAGCCCAACACAACCATCAATGATAAAATAACCATGTTTATACAACCAATCCTAGGTTCCTTCTCATGATTTTAAACAAATCCAACGTGGATAAGATTTTCATGCAATACAAAACTACCACATGTCTATCTATAGACGAAGCATTGAAAAAAAACAAGGAAATCCCTACCTCAAATGTAGAACCCAAGGAGAAGAAGAGCTAAACTCGGAAGTTCTCCAAATACCAAATTTCTCGGATCAAAATGTAGTCCTCAATGATCAACACACTTCTTACAAAGGCCCAAGGTGAGGAAAACACTCCTACTAGATCAAACCCTAGAGAGAAGTTAGGTTTTAGAGTGAGGAGCTCTCAAAAATATCTTTTTTTAGAAAGTAAGAGAGAGAGAGAGAATGTAAAAAGTGATCTAAAATAGCCTAGCTGCCAACTGATATACGACTCTCCCGCTCGAGCGTAGAACACAATGCTCGAGCGTCAAGAACAAAAAATTAGGTACGCTCGAGCACAAGAAGGCCCGCTCGAGCGCCAAGACACAAGAATAAAGTACATCCGCTCGAGCGCGAAAATCAGTCCGCTCGAGCGTAGATTTCCCCCTTCCAGAACTTATACCAAAAGGTACTACCCGCTCGAGCGCCAGAGTACCCGCTCGAGCGCGACCGCTCGAGCGTAAAGAAACCCACTCGAGCGTAAAAATCACACCTGCAGAAGTTTTGCAGGGACACGAAATACTGTGAGTGTGCAATATCCGCTTGAGCGCAACAAGTCCCGCTCGAGCGGAACAACCAAAAACCTAGCAACATGATTTTTAGACCAAGGTTCAACCCACCTGTTCGAAACATGCCCAACACATCCTAAAACTCAAACAAATGGAATTAAAGGACGACAACAAGATAGATGCAACAACCAGATCTACGGAACCAAGTCCGGATTACAGTTCAACAACAGCAAAAAAAAAATCGGGATCGCTATAGATCTAATCCCGAGGCCCAAAGAAGAAAAGATATAAATAGAAGAAACATCAGCCAGAAAGAGATATGTGAGAATTGTTGTGCTAGACTTAGAATACAAGCATTCTTGAGCGTTGAGACTGACTTGTCCGTCGGAGTGCTAATTCCGGCATCCCCGACCGGAGTGTTTATTCATTTTCAGGTGACTAGAAGAGGATCACGAGCGTTCTCCAAAATCTGAAGAGTATTTCCAAACCACTTCTCTACAAACGTGAAAACACGAAACAAAATTAAAAAAAGTGAAATCGACTATTTCAATTGTTCAATGGCAATAAAAATCATTGATCAACCAACAAGCATAGCAGCAAACAAATACACAATAAATCATCAAACAATATATAAAAAATTATCAAATAGTTCATATATATTGACACACATTTTTTAAAAAATATGTATACAATCAACTCCAGCATAATATCGGCGAATAAACTGCACAATATCGGTGACTACACAAACCGATGAAGATATTACGTTTTATGTATAACAATGGCAAAAAATGATTTGTCATTGCATATTTACCATCATCTATGTTGCGAGTTTATTATCATCTCTATTATTGGTGTACATATACAACTAACTTTCCCTTCCAAATGTTATTCCATGGCATGACCTTATTATAAAATAATGGTGAAAGAAGATTTTTGATCAAATGAATCTCTTACATTGAGGCAAAGAAAATACTAAGAATAATAATTTTCTATATTTATATACAATATTTTATATATATCATAATGATATATATCTAATAATAATTTTCTTTCTCTTAGATATACGGTATATATATATATTATAATAAAAGTTTATAAGGGTAAAATAGTCCACATAATAGTTCTAATGTAGAAAAAATGATATATTGGAATATAAGATCAAATGTATGGGATTAGATGGAATATAAGAATACTTTGTGAATTTATTGGGTTATAAGTCATCTAAATGAGATTTATAAATGAATATCTCGTAATTTTTTTATGGTACATTTTTTTATAAATCTCTTTTTAATTATTTATATTCCACTTAGTTTAAATTAGGGTAAAGTACACTTACTTCCTTTGAGATTTTTGACAAATGCAGGAACCTTTCCTGTAGTTTTAATAATTACAGAAACCTCCCTTACATTCACTAACAATATCAAGCTTTCCCCAATTCATCAATTATACACAAACGACATTATTTTTCTATACAAAATGACCATATTACCCTTTTATTTGAGCGCAAAAAGACGAAAATACCCTTTGATTGTTAACCTCCTCTCTACAATATCTAACTTTGTTTTTTTGTTTTTGTTTTTGTTCTCTCTCATCTCATCAGATCGAAATGCGCGAGAGAAGCTCTTCCTCGCCAGCAGCACTCGTTTTTGCTATTTGTCATATTCCTTCCGTTGCTACCGTCTTTCCTTTTATTCTTCTTCATCCATTCCCTCTCTTTTGTTGTTCGCCGCCCGTTTTTCTTACCTCATCCCCTTCTTATTTGTCTTCTTCTGAAACCCTAACCCTGGATCTATGGTTTTGAGAGTGGTGGTGGGCGGTGATGGCATAAGACCTATCAATGATTTCATAGAAGACCCATCAATGGGCAATGGAGGTAGCAGAAGAGCTGGAGCTATAGCGCTGGTGTGATGAAGGTAGATTAGGTACTAAGGTGGGGACAATGGAGGGCATAGTGGGCTGCCACTACACAATCGATGCAGATAGCTGGTGTGATAGAGGTAGTAGAGATAAATGATGGCTGGACGACAACAATGAAACTGAATATGAGTTGGGTTCTTCAATTGCAAGTATTTCCAAACACCACTAGGTTCAAAATTCAAAGGCACCAACCTTCCATATATAGAGATTTTTTCTTTTCTTTTTTTCTTTTTTTTTTGGGGGGGTCTTTTTTTGCTAATTTAGTGTAAGAAGGTTGAAATTTTTGCTTTAAATCAGTTGGGTATAGATTCCAAACACCACTAGGTTCAAAATCCAAAGCACAAATGGGGGCAGCTATCACGGGTCCCTCACAAATATATGAATTTTTTCTTTAGGGTTCTTCATCGAGGTTCCAAAGAAGAAGATATAGCGTACGATGTTTTACCCTTTTGCTATTCTTGTTCGAAATATTTCCAAGATTCACTTTATACCTTGAATAAGCTTTGAACGTCTTTATTTTAACTACCCCAATTCGTGATTTTTATGTTTCTTGGACACTGTACAATGTCTATATTTATCATAGATTTTGTGTTCTCAGGCTTATCTAATGCTCTCTCTTTCTGCTTTCAAAAAAGAAAAAAAAGAAAAGAAAGACACCAACCCTTTCTTTCTCTCTATATATATTTGTGTATTTGGGTCATTTTTTCACTAATTTAGTTGAAAATTTTGCTTTAGATCAATTGATGTAGATCTAGAATGTGCTATGTTAAACAAATTGTTCCCATGTTTACATATTTGTATATACATACATATATATGTCTATATATGTACATGTATATATATGTATATATGTTAGAAGAAAAAAAAATTGTTCCCATGTTTAAATGTGTGTACATATATACATATATATGTTAAATAAATTTAGAAATTAATTTAATTGAATTTTATTTTCTGTGCTAGAAATTAAAATATGTTTGCATGTATTTATATATATATATATATCTGTTCGTATATATGAGATTTGAAAAATCAATTGAATTTGGTATTGCTTTGTTTGAATTTGGGTATGGCTTTTTTTTTCTTTTCTCTCAACAAGACACTTGAGGGCATTATGGACATTTCAGTATTTATCTTTGATGACATCAGCAACTTTTGTTAGTTGTGTGAACAATAGTCAAAAAATAGAGGGAAGTTTCTGTAATTATTAAAACCATAGGGAATGTCTCTGTATTTGTCAAAAATCTCAGGGGAGGTAAGTGTAATTTACCTTTTAAATTATTTTCTTATATTCCAATAAGTTTTATAAATGACACAATTATCAAAATATTCCTAATAATAATAGGGTGAAATGTATATCAATGTTCACATTGACAGTGTGATTTGAACATTCACATTGTCAAATTTATTTAATGTGAATGTTTACATCACTAAATTGCCAAGGGTTCAAAAAAAAATTATAAGGATAAAATTATTCATAAAATATCTTAAATATGAGAATTAAGATTTGGTAGACCAAATATCCAGAATAATATGATTTATTAAAATATAAGAATATCTTATGCACTAATTAAGATAAAAATTCTTGAAAGAGAATTTTTGAAATTCTCATTTTTTAAATGTAAAAATATAAAATTAAAAAAAATAGTCAAACCCTCTACATTTTTTTAAAGAAGAAACACCAATAAATCTCATTTTTATATAAGCTCTCTAAATAATTTAATGAACACAACAATCTTTATTTGTGTAAAAATAACAGCATATATAATCCTATAATTTACATTTGTGGATGCTAGTTAATAACCATAAAATCAAAATTGTCACAATTTGAAATTATGCATTTGTCTAAAATTTATTAAGGAGTTTTTATACTTCTTTTGAAATATTTGAAAAAATATCACATTTTAAGTCATTTCAAATTAAAATCTCACAATTTGAAATTACACATTTGCACAAACCTTACTAAGAAGTTTTTGTACTAGTTTTGAAATGTTTGAAATTTTTTACATTTCAAGTCATTCTAAATCAAAACCCTATAGTTTGAAATTATATGTTTTCTCAAAATTTACTAAGAGGTTTTATATTTCTTTTAAAATATTTAAAGAATTTTACATTTCAAACATTTCAAAGAAGAAAGATTTTCGTATCAAAATCTACCCCAAATTTTAATAACCGCACCGTATCCCAAAAAGATTCTCATATTAGAAGATCTTATTTTAGGCTGTGTATTTTATTTTTCCGGTTCAAAAATAAATATATAAAAATAAAAGTATAACTATAAACTTAATTTTTAAAATTAATGAGACTAATTAATCTATAAAAAAATATTTATAAACCGATTATCATTTCTGTAGATGTGATTCATCGATATAATTTTCAAAATTTTAAAGGATAATCATTAAAAACAAACAAACAAACAACAACGCATTCGAACCTACGCAGGCGATGCCAAATAATACCTTATCTTTTGTAATTTTTTTTTTAATCTTAACTAAAATAACTGGACGATTGTTGGCCTTGTTTAGTTTGTATTTCTCAAAAAATTTTAAGAAAAAATCTCTACAAATAAGGTTTCAAAAGTAATCAAATCAAACAAATTTTTCCAAATTTTTTTTTGAAAACTTATTTGGTTTATAAGTTTTCCAAACAAATCTCTCTCTTATACACATTAAATCAATCACTTTTTTTAAAACTCTCTCTCAAAATAATTTTTCAAAACATCTTTTTAAAAAAAAATCAAATCAAACAAATTTTTATTATTTTTATCTTAAACCATGTTTCTCAAATACAAACCAAACAAGTCTGAATTTTGGAAGCGAAATAATGGTTGTTTTGGTAATTCGATAGCTATATAATCAGTGTTCATAGAAAATCCTCATCTCGGAACCCTATTCTTCCGCTGCGGCAAACCCTTCTTCCCACTCTCTCTCTCTCTCTCTCTCTCTCTCTCTCTCTCTCTCTATTTTGAAATTGTGATTGGTCTGACAATGTTCGTTTTTGTTTGAATTTGATCCGTCCTGTTGGATTTAGGTTGGGTTAACAATGGCTCCTAAAGGTACGTTCATGCAACTAACTCTTTAGTTTTTTATTTTTTAAAAAAAACTCAGGAGAGTCAATGTAACTGGGATTTAGTTGTAGGGTTTGGGATATATATATATGTGTGTGTGTGTTTGTTATTTAACATGTTTACTTATACTGCTTGGGTAGTTGGTGATTTGGGTTTCTTAAGCTTGAATGTGTTTTAAATCATTGATGCCTCAAATGAAATAATTTCTTCTGCTATTGTTTGGTTAGTCTAGGGTTTAACGTTGTTCGTTACTATTATTAGGGTTTTGCTGATCTTGATTGAGGGAACAAGGAGGATATTGAGAGAGAGATATTATCTTCTAGGGTTTGGATTATCTGAAAGAAAAAAAGGGGGATGTTGTACATAATTGGTCTGGGATTGGGAGACGAGAAGGACATTACTCTGAGAGGACTTGAAGCAGTGAAGAGATGCAACAAAGTCTACTTGGAAGCCTACACTTCTCTCCTCTCTTTTGGCCTCTCCTCCGATGGTCTCTCCACTCTGGTTCGTTTCGCTTTCTGTTTGGTTCCTGAGAAACATTTCTAATAGAAAAATAAAAAATAAAGAAAGAGCAAGTAATTAGATTTATGATTTGACTACCACATTTTCTTTTCTTCAGTTTTATCTGATGATTCTTCTTGGGTAATTGAATTTGAATTTGAATTCTTTTGCAGGAAACACTTTTTGGAAAGGTGATTACAATTGCAGACAGAGAAACAGTAGAGGAAAGAGCTGACGAAATATTGTCGGAAGCTCGCGTATCTGATGTTGCTTTCCTTGTTGTCGGAGATCCTTTCGGGTAATAAATTATGCTTATTTTATTGAAATTGGCATATCCCATAAGCTAATCTGAAACTTTTATCAAGTAGTTGTTGCTCCTATTGATTCATGAAATGCTATGCTTGAGTAATATATTTTAATTGTTTTTCTCTGTATGTCTGGTTTGTATTCATGTTGCATTCCATATTTTTGGTACACTAACTTGTGTGATTATTTGTAACAATTTTTAAAAAATGCTTAAGTAGGTTAATTATGCTCATTTACAATCATTACAAATTGTGGAGTTGATTATATATCATGTTTAGGATAATAGGCAACTTGTAACCCATAGATGTTCCTACTACCTGTAAGTAAGATCTATTCATAGTTGGTCAGTCCCCCCACGACACTGCTTCTCACTTTTCATGAATGTGTCTCCCCCTTTGCTTATGTGAGTTTGACCCGCCTTTGACTCTGCTTGCTTTTGACTCCCTGTGAGCCGTTTTACGACCTGACTTTTTCAGAGGGTTGGCGGGACATGGGAGCCTCAGCTCATGCCTTGGTTTACCGAAATCACCTCATAAATTCATTTGTGTCAAAAAATTATGAATAGCGGAAGTCAAGTTTGATGATGGTTGTTATCTATTATGGGATTTGTGTAGAGTTACTCAGATCTTTGCCTCCAGAACAGTTTCATGATTTTTAGTTTCTGACCATAAGATGTTGGGAAGTACACCCCGAGTCCCTTTGTGCAACATATGGAGTGTGAAATTGTGAACTCAAGCCAAAGGCATTGAGAGGAGAGGGGTGGAGGGGTGTGGAAGGGAGTTTTAAGTGTTTTTTTGTTTTTAGCTGTCTTCAAGAATGACGTGTGCTTTAATCTTTTGCTTTGAATGTTACTTGTAGGTGAAAACAATAATGAAAGAAAGTGAAACTCATCTTCTTTACTATTTTCCACAGGGTTGTTCCATATTGAATTTACTAACTGCCATCTCTCCCTTGTATCTCTTATTCTAATGTTAAACATAGAGCTACAACACACACTGATCTAGTTGTTCGAGCGAAGAAATTGGGGGTGTTTGTCAAGGTGGTGCACAATGCATCAGTGATGACTGCAGTTGGAGTTTGCGGTCTACAGCTCTACCGGTATGGAGAGACTGTTTCCATACCATTCTTTACTGAAACATGGAAGCCTGACAGTTTTTACGAGAAGATTCAAAGAAATTGCATGCTTGGATTGCACACTCTATGCTTGTTAGGTAAAAACAACCTTGTAAAGAGTGGTGTTTATGCTATCTATCAACCTTAAAATTTTTCTCAATTATGGAAATCATTATTTGCTTTCTTCCTGCAACCTCTTGAAACTTAAAAACAGCATATGCTGATATTACATGTTATTTTTGAACACTGTTCTCCCTCCTACCTTCAAAAAGAAGATCTAGAGTGCTATACGTTGAAAATTATGTAGAAAAGATTCTTACTTCTGTAACTAGACTTTTCATATGGTGTATGTCTATAATCCTTTGTATACACTATTTTATGGCACCAAATCCCTTTTACTCTAGATGCCGTGGGTGGCTGATGAATCTTCATTGTCCCTCCTTTTTGTGCTTTTCCCTCGTATTTAGTTCTCAATGCTTAGAGAATATGATATAAAAAATTAAATAAATAATAAAAAAAGGATATCAAGAAATTGTGTTGTACTAGTAAGGAAGAACGAATATATCTTAGTTAGATTGTTGATATTTGGCTCGATACCTTTAGATTGGAACCCATTAACATAACCGTTTTGAACAAACAGGATTTATCCTTTTGATTTTGCTACTGCCATGAAAATTTAAAAAAACACACTTCTTATTCTTGTTGGACTCAAATTGTTTGGATAAGATATCACAAAAGATTTCCCCTTGCGTTGTGTTTGGTTCATGAATTTGGGTGGGGATTTGAAAAGAAAAATGGTAAAGGTAAGCGAAATGTGAATGAAATATAACTATATTTCACACTTTTTTCCTTTTCCCTTCCAAATCTTTATCCAAATCCATAAACCAAACACAAACCTAAGATATTTTTTGATTTTTTGAATATTCACTATACTTTCTTGATTTTTTGTGGCGTATATAACTAACTCACTGCAAATGATGTAAAACACAGATATACGTGTGAAGGAGCCCTCGTTGGAATCCTTGTCCAGGTCAGAGCTCATTTTGATTTTGTGCTTTATTTTTCTATTATATTTTGCAAATCATGTATGCTTTTATGCATGCTACTGATAGACTAATTTTTTATTTGGTCTGCCCTATAATATCTTCAGAGGAAGAAAGCAGTATGAGCCACCTAGGTATATGACAATAAAGACTGCAATAGAGCAACTCCTGGAGGTCAAACAAAATCACACACAACCTGGTTGGTCCATTTGATTTTTCGTTTATATTTTGCCTTTAAATTTTGGCACTTGTTTAATGAATTTCTCTGTTTTCTTGTGGAATACAATTTTAACTTGAGCCCAAAAAAAAAAAAAAAAAAAAAAAAAAACCAAAAATACAAAAAAAAAAAAAAAAAAAATCAAGAAAATTATATTTGGGGTGTGGCTCCTTAGTGATGGGCTAGTCATGGTGGATTTGAGTAGTCTAGAGTGAAGTAAATAACCTAACAAGTTTTTTTTTGAAATTTGCAGCATACAGTGAAGACACTATTTGTGTTGGTTTTGCTCGACTGGGAAGTGAAGATCAGATGGTAGTTGCAGGATCAATGAAGCAACTGCTCACTGTCGACTTTGGGGCACCACTACATTGTCTTGTCATAGTAGGTGAAACTCATCCTGTGGAAGAAGAGATGCTGGGTTTTTATACACTTGGAGGAAATTAGGAAAGAATTACACAGTTTTTGTCTTCATAAATTTATTGTTGTATTTTTTCCCGTCAAAAATTAAAATTAAAAAAAAATTATTGTTGCACCTAATCATGATCTGTTGGCTGTGATATCTTTGATCTACTTTTAGTTTAGGAAGTTGAAACCTTATTGTGGATATCTGCTGTCCTTTTTATGGCCTAAAATTATATTCAAATGAATGAAAGCAGTTTTAGATCTTGAACCACTTGACTTTGTTAGATGAGTATTTCTGTTTTAGTTGGAAGAGGGTAAATTGTTCTTGTTCTATTATTATTGGTAATTTCATATGATTAAGGTGAAGGCACCAACCATATTCCAATGGGAGAAAAAGCATACAGAGAATTTTCTAGATATTTCGTGCCCCTTTTTTGCTTCTATTTATCTTTTGATGAGTAGCATTTAGTTGCTCAACACAAGATCAAGAAGTAGAACCCTACAAAAAGACTCTTATCAATTCGCTGCATCCGCAACATAGCTTCTGCGATGGCCTCATTTTCTTCTCATTCTCTCTTGGTTTGTCCTAGGACTAGTCCTTTTTCTGAAGAACACTCTCTTTCTCTCTGCTGTATTCTTGCTAATGTTTTGTGCTGAAAGAGCATTTCCTTGCAAATTTTTGAGGATCATGGAGACAGTCCTTGACCTTAGTTTGTCTTAGGCTTAGTTTGTGCCTACAAAGTCAGAAAAAACGGGACTGCCATTTAAAAAAGAACATACCATCACGGAAGAAAGAAATATACCCCAATATCTTCCTATAGGCCAAACCCAATACAACAAAAATCATCCATAACGAAGTCACTTTGATCAAAAGCACACATTATAGTACCGTCTTTGCTGAAAATCCAAATGCTTCCTCAATTGGTTGTTATGGAAGTTGAGATACATTCTCTTATTGAATTCATCACTTACGAGATTCCATGTTTTCTTGTCAAAAACATTGTTTGGTCTATTCCCCAGTTGAGCCTGCTCAATAGCCTAGTCTGCAAATATCTTTTTTAGGGATGGTGATTACCTTGTCCTTGAGACTTGAACCTAAAACCTCTCATAATTTGAGCTCTTATACCATGTTAGATAACCTTTAATATCAAAAAACTTAAGTTGTAGTGAAGGGAAAGGGGATAACAATGCATATCCAGTTACATTCACTACCAATAATAGTCCACATCAAAGTGATATTATAAAAAATAAAAAATAAAAAATAAAATTGAAAAGAGAAAAAGGGGGAGCCTACTAAGGCTAAGAATTTTGATTACAAAGGCCATAGAACTAGGAAGAATCACAAAATTAGGGGGCCGATCTTTGTCATGAACCAGAGCTTCACACAAACAAAAACAATCGAGCCACTTCTATTTTCAAATCCAAGGCGATGAATACAACATTAACAATTTTCACCTCAGATTTTTGTTATTGGTAGTTGCAGTGGTATTTTCAAATTTTATGTATGCACATCACACATGTCTAATTAACTTATTGTTCACAACTATTTTTTAGAAGAAAACGAAGAAGAACTCACACATCCAATTAATTCACTGTTGAAGAATAAAATTCCTATAACATGCAAAAGCACTAAACTCTGGTAGGACACCTTGTTTAGATTTATACTCGAAAAATGTTCTTAAGAGTATAATGCACAATCCATATCCACTTTGTAATGTATGCAATCGTGGTCTACAGTTTCTGAAACCTTAAAAATCTACATCCAAAACCATGCTCTAAGTATTGGTATAGATTTTATCTATATTGTTGATACGTATGATCCTAAAGCAGACCTATCACGTGCAAAAAGAATCAAATGCAATGACAAAACAAGAATGTGAATGCAAGAAATAACAAGAAGCTTGGAAGCCAAATCATTCGATCATAAGTTATTTTGTTCAAATTTGTAATTTTTTTTTTTGGTTTTTTTGTTTTTGTTTTTGTTTTTTGTATGTAAGAGATAGACATGTCTATCTCACAAGTACCTGAAGCGTGTTTCAGTCAATTTTTTTTAAAAAAATATTAGGACATGTATGAACATGGTATGAACATGTGTCTGACACATATTGGCAAGTGTTCGACACTAGATCAATATAGACATGTCGCCTTCTTATTAATATTGGCGCTTCTTAAATGGCTTCAGAGTGGCCTATATGGTAGATTTTTGTTTGTGCACTTAGTTTTGTGAAATCCATTATTTTTAAAGTATAAATATTTTAATGAGAGGTATTAGTGGTTTATAATAGTATTTACCATCTTTCCTCTTTAAGCAAAACAAAATGTGTCTGACACATATTGGCAAGTGTTCGACACTAGATCAATATAGACATGTCGCCTTCTTATTAATATTGGTGCTTCTTAAATGGCTTCAGAGTGGCCTATATGGTAGATTTTTGTTTGTGCACTTAGTTTTGTGAAATCCAGTATTTTTAAAGTATAAATATTTTAATGAGAGGTATTAGTGGTTTATAATAGTATTTACCATCTTTCCTCTTTAAGCAAAACAAAACCACCAAAAAAAACAAAAAAAAGGTGTGGCCGTCCACCTCCATTCCCTGTTGTCCTTTTATTGATGTGCCCTGGCATCATCTCTTTCCTTTCATTTTATATTTAAGATAAATTACAAACGCACCCATTAAGATTTACTTAAATTATAAATTATCTCTTATAGTTTTAGAAATTATATTAAGCTCCCTAAGATTTTTAATTTCATAACAAATAGATCATTTTATTAATAAATCATCAAGTTAAGTAACAATTTTTAATAATGTTAAAATTTAATTTCAATTAATAATTCAGATAATTTTATTATTGTATAGGTGAACAGTTAGAAATTTCAATTTTTTAATTAATTCTGTTAAATAAAAAATTCTGACAGGAAGATATTTATAATTTTTCAAACCACATGGTATAATTCGTATTTTAAGTAAACCTTAAGGGGTGTATTTGTAATTTACCTTTTTATTTATTTATTTATTTTTATGTGGCTCGAAGACTCTTTCTATAAATAAGGATGTAAATTTTGCCCGGCAAGGTCTATGTCAAGCCTCGTGGGCTGTTGCCAAAATTTGGTCTGGGCCATGGACAAAAAAATTAGGCCCAAACCCAAGGAGTATTCGGGCTTTAGGCGGGTCGGTAGGCCTGGGCATCGACTTGGGCTTGGGCAGGTCTGAACAAATTTTTTTTTTCTATCAAAATTTTATTATTTTCTACTGAAAAAGACACCGGGCGTCAACGCTAGCCTCAAGTGAGCCTTAAGCGGATTGATGAGTCGGGTCCACGAGCCGGGCCAGGCTTCAAAATGATGGCACAGGCAAAGGACTAGGGTCTCAGGCCGGGCTAAGGCCCTAGCCTAAACGGATGGGGCCCATCCCGAGCCGCAGGCGGGTTTCGGACTGCCCACAAATCGTGGGCCATTTTTACACTCCTACTTATAAATTTGAACAAGTTACCTATAAATTGAACAAGTGAGGGACAGGTGCTCATCCACCCTCTCACCTTGCTTTTTCTTCATTTCAACTCTCTCTCTCTCTCTCTCTCTCTCATTGTGATATAAATTTTGATTTAGAGTGAGAATTAATAATTTTACAAAAGAAGAAAGTTGTAAATTTTATCAGATCTTATATACCTTTTATCTTAAAATTTTAATCCATCATTTTTGGAGATCTATGAAGTAATATCAGATGATTAAAGTGTTGATGACAGAGGAATTATTTTGAGGTAACTGGATGGTATACATATGCCTCCTTTATATCTCTTTGCAAAGAGTGTTATTTTAATTACTTCTAATTTGTGCTCCGTTTGTTACACTAGTCATTTGATTAATTTTATGAAATTATTCTATATTGACAATGTTGATTTGTCTAACTAGATGATGTAGGATTACTTTGTAGATGGATCGAGTGAATCCTGCCAATTAATAGCTTGCACTAATATGCCTGGATAAACAGTTGTGCTTGAGTAAGGTGAGTGGAGGCTAGTTACTTAGTCATGTACTGAGTAGGATTGTGTATTTGGTCTCGAGTTTATTTTTTTGTCCAATTTGGTAAATTGCTTGCTAATTCAAATCAAATTGTTTGCTATGTTGTAAATTGTTGGATTCCTGTTAATTTATTCTCTATTCGAGTATTGTTATTCCTGCCGTATTGTATATAGGGACGGATCTAGGATTATGTCTTTGGGGGGCTACTCTATAGTTTAAAAAATTGGGGGGCTACTCTATATAATTTTGAAATTATCTACAAAAAATTTGGAGGTACGAACTCCTATAATTTGAAGTAATTTTAAATTTTTTAATATAAATATGATATTTTTCAAATTTTTAGGGGTGCGACCACCCCCCTATCCCCCCTTAGATCCATCATTGATTGTATACTTCTCAAGTTAATTTATTTTTCAAGTGTGGAGTAATTTAATAGCGATTGAAGTTAAAGCATTAAATAATTTATTGAGTTAGATATTTGGGGCTCACCACTGTGTTAATATTTTTGGAGATAATTATATAAATTATTTTTTAAAAAAAATTGTGTAAATTATTTTAAAGATAATTTGTATATTTGAAATTATTAATTATCTGAAATTGTAATTTGAAATTTATTTAATTTATTAACAACTCTAGAGTTGGAGCGTCACAAGTCATGGATTCTTCTACAAGACCTTTTTTTTTTTTTTTTTTTTTTTTGTGGGGGGGGGGGGTGTCATGAATACTTCTACAAGACTTATTAATATATTTTGAAGCCCATTCTTTGTATGATTTGACCTCTTCAAAGACAAAAGTCCATACCAAATTGAAAGGCTTGCAAGCTTGTAATTTGCTTCATGCCATATTGTTTGCACAAAAATTAACACATAAGGTTGTGGATTGCGAGTATGCCAAGGCAAAATATTGCCTACGTGAAAGATAAATTTAATTTCTAATCAAATGATTGTGTAATGACCAAGGGAACAAAAGTCTTTTTGTCCTTTTCTTGGTTCAATGAAGAGAATTTCAAATCTAATTTTTAGTTAGGAAACAAAATTAGTAGAACGAAATAACAAATAGAAAAAAGTCAAGTTTTATATATTCAGGTGGATTAAACATATAAAAATGACAAAAACAAGTTTGAATTAGACAAAATTGAATTACAAATTATTGTAAGCACAATTTAAACAAAACAAAATGTCATTGATGGCCAAAAAAATAACTAATGACACAAATATTAACAACGATGATGTTCGCTAAGCTAAGTTATG